GTATCTAACACCTGTGTCCTTAGCCACTATTATTCTGAATATAGCTCATATAAGTGTCCATGAGCACCAGGATATACCTGAAAAGAAAAGGCACCTGCATAATTGGGCTTTTAGACATGTTCTTAGCTCATAGAATCAACTTTAAACAACAGCCCAGTGAGCTGGGGGTGTAGTTCAGTGGTAAAGCACTTGCCTAATATGTGCAAAGCCCTGACTTCAATCCCCCATTTAATTAATTAATTAAAATCAATCCACCCTGTTCAAGGAGAACCCGTTCTTAAGCCTCCTTTCTTGGATGCCCCGGGTTCCCGGTCTTTAGATGTCAGAGCTGGAAAGGTCTTAGACTATCTTCCATGGGACAGATGAAAAAGCAAAGCTCAGAAACGGGCTTAAACTGCTAGGGCACACAGGGCTGTATCAGAGCAAGGGATGGAAGCCACATCTTGGGAGCTCTTCTACTGGAGTCTGGCCATGGCCTGAGCCCTCCCTCCCTTTGTTTGGCTCTTTTCCCAGATGACACCTGGAGGGAGTGACTCATGGCTACCTAACTTTGAGTCCAAAGCTGCTCTGTCCCTGAATCTCCCCCTTTTGTATAAATTTACTAACCAACATTGATATTTAACTTTTTGTGGCACATATATCCAATAACCTGTTCAGAGACTAATTTGTGAGACTGTGTGGTATAGGGACTAGTGTGGAAAGATTGTCTAGGTTAGGGACTAGAGAGATGGCTTAGTGAGTAAAACATTTGCTATACATGCTTCAGAACCAGAGTTCAGATCCCCAGCACCCATATAGATGCTGGGCAGGCATGGTAGCTTGCCTATAATCCCAGCACTTGGGAAGTAGAGACATAACAAGCTTGTTACCTAAACTAGCCAAATTGATGAGCTCTGGGTTTAAGTGTGAGACCCTGCCTCAATTATAAGGTGAAGAACAATCAAAGAAGATACCCAGCATTACCTTCTGGTTTACACATACACATATGTACATGCACACACACATGCATGTCCAAAACAAACAAAAAAAAAAACATTGTTTGGGTTCAAATGTTAACTCCTCCACTTGTTAGCTGTGTGACCTTGGTCAAGTCCCTTAACCTTCCAATGACTCAGTTTCCTCATCTATAAATGGTAAATGATATGAGTAAATGTCCGTAAAGGCAAAACCATAGCAACAAAAACATGATACCAACACAAAAGCAGGCATGTGGACTAGTGGGTTGTAAAAGAGGACCCAGAAGTAAACCTATTCAGCTATAGACAGAAAAACACATGGAGGAAGGACAGTCTCTTTAACAAAAGCTGGATGTCCACTACATTCCTGTCTCACCCTACCTACAAAAATCAATTCAAAACAGATCAAATAGCATTATTTAAGGCTTGAACCTAGTACAGGAAAAGATAGGAGAAACACTTCCAGAAATAGGTTTAGGCAGAGATTTTCAGAATAAGGCTCCAGTGGTTTAGGAAACAATAGAAAGATTTGACAGATGGGATTTCATCAAATTAAAAAAAACTTCTATACAACAAAAGAAACATAGTGAAGAGACAGACCATAGAGTGAGTGAAAATCTCTGCCTATTTATCCAATAGAGGAGTCATACTCAGAATATATAAAGAACTCAGATATTACATACAAAGCTGGGTGTGGTGGCGCATGCCTTTAATCCCAACAGAGGCAGGCAGATCTCTATGAGTTCAAGGACAGCCTGGTCTACATAGTGAATCCCAGGCCAGCTGGGGCTACAGGGAGACCCTGTCTCAAAAAGACAAAAAAAAAAAAAAATTACACACTAAAAGAACAACAACTAGAGGGCTAGAGAGATGGCTCGGCATTAAGAGCGCTGACTGCTCTTGCAGAGGACCCAGGTTCGATTCCCAGCACCTACTAACACAGCTAACAACTGTCTATAACTCCAGTACCAGGGGATCTGACTCCCTCTTCTGACCTCTGTGGCCATTGTGGGTATACTTGCTTACATGCAGGCAATATACTCACAGACATAAAATTTTTAAACATAAATATTTTTAAAAGAATAACAAATAAATGGAAAGGTGAACAGAAAGTTCTCAAAAGTAGGAGTACAAATGGGCAACAAATATATGAAAAAATGTTCAAGAGCTCTAGCTTTCAGAAAACTGTAAGTAAAATATATATTTAAGAGGCTGAAGAGACAGCTTAGTGGTTAAGAACACGTATTACTCTTGCAGAGACCTAGGTTCAGTTCCCAGTACCCATGATGGGTGGCTCACAACCACCTGTCACTCCAGCTCTGGCTGGGTGATTCAATACCTCTTCTGACCTCCACAGGCACTTACATACATGTGCACAAGTTCATACACAGACACATATTTATACACATAATTTAAATACTTAAATTTAGCCAGGTGTGGTGGCATGCACCTTTAATCCCAATGCTCAGGAGGCAGAGGCAGGCAGATCTCTGAGATTGAGACCAACTTGGTATATGTAGCAAGTTCCAGGCCAGCTGTGGCTACAGGGAAACCCTGTCTCAAAAAAAAAAAAAAGGAAAAAATCTATATGGACCTGGTAGCATAAGCTGCTTAGAGGCTGAGGCAGGAGGATCACAAATTCAAATCCTGCCTAGGCTACAGAGCAAATTTGAAGAAAAAAGGACTGTTGATATAGATTAGTGAGAGAAAACTTAAATGAAGCCTTGAATTCAGTTCCCAGCCCCAGGGAGGAGAAAAAAAGCAACCTCTGTTGAGAGTCTCTCACCCTGAGCTGAATGGCTGTTATTAGGGTTTAAATGTAAAATGCCTTGTGTTTCATCACTTAGTACCCACAGCTGTTTGGGGAGATTGTGAACAATTAGGACAATATAGAGCCTAGCTAGTGAATCTAGACCATTAAAGGCAGGTGTTCCAAGTTATAGCTCAGCCCTGCTTCTTGATCTGCCAAGATGTAAACAAACTAAGCCACAAGCTTACTGCCACCTGGGACCCAGCTGCTCAAGCCACCACACTGCCTCTGCCATACCAGACCAATGCCTCTGTTAGATATTTTGTTACAGCAACAGGAAAAGTAACTAATGCAGTTATTATCAAAATGAAAAAACAAGCAACATGACCAGTGAGATGGCTCATCAAGTAAAGGCGACTGCTGCCAAGCTCATAACCTGAGTTTGATCTCCAGGACACAGAGGAGAAGGAAAGAGCCAATTCCCAAGGGTTCTCCTCCAAACTCCACGTATACCCCAGTGGCAGGCACTCATACACATTTACAATAAATAAATAAATAAATAAGATAAAAAAATCATTTTTATGTTATGTATGTAAGTGTTTTGCCTGCATGTAGGTAAGTGCACTGCATGTGTTCAGTGCAGAAGTCAAAGGGTATCTGTTAGGGTTTGAGAATAGACAATAATTCCCACAGATACCAGAAAGATCGTACAAAAAGTTTATTCAGGAATTTAAAGTAAAAACAAGCAATTGGCGGCTAGCCAGGCACAGACTGCAGGAGCCAAAGATGGAGTCTAGCCCCGAAAAATAGCAGGCAGGAGCTTTTATTGGGGAACTCCACAGAATCCCACGCACCAACCATCCTTTAAAATGATTGGAAGGTTCGATGTTCTGAGTACGGGGAGGATTCTTATTGTAGGGTCTGTCTTTAGGGCATTGGAATGTGCTGACTGTTATCTATAGGGCCAGAAGTTTCTGTTCCCACCTTATAAGGCTTTTATATGCCTGGGCTTGCTTAATCTATGGCTTTTGGCGGGGGGTGGGGGGGGTAGCAACTGGAGATTTACAATATGCCTGGGCTTTGTCCAGGCTTGCCTGAAACAGCTAGCCAAAATGGAGTCAGTGTATTCTGACTCTTCAGTATCGAATCCCCGGGAACTGGAGTTACAAATGGCTGTTAGTCACCATGTAGGTGCTAAGGACCAAACCCCAATCTTCTGCAAGAGCAGCCAGAGCTCTTAACTGCTGAGCCATCTCTTCAGCCCTGATAAATATTTTAAAAACACAGCAACGTAAGGACCAGCATACAAACACTATGGAAATATTTTATAAATATTTATGCAGGATCTGGAGAGATGGCTCAATGGTTAAGAGCACTGACTGCTCTTGGAGAGGACCTAGGATCAATCCCCAGCACCCACATGGTGGCTAACAACCATCCATAACTCCAGTTCCAAGGAATCCTACGCCCTCTTCTGACCTCCATGGGCATTGGACAGTATGAGTACACTTACACACATGCAGGCAATACATTCATACACATAAAACAAAAATAATAAAACATAGTAAATAAAATATTTTTATAAATATTTATGTAAAAAATAAGTTGACTATAATTTCTATTTAACAGAACAAAAGAGCAAGGCTCAGAGAGGTTCCTGAGTTTTCCAGGTTCACATGACTTGCTAGCAAGAGCTGTGACTTCATCCTGTTTCCAGAACTTTGAGCTCTCTGGTGGGTGGTCTCCTCTGTTCCCATTCCATCCAGATCCAAATGAGAAGCCCTGAGGGCTTCTTTGACTCTGTGGGGAACATCTGTCCTTTTTTATCTCCTTCCGTAAGTTCTGAAGTTATGAGGTGAACAGTTGAAAGTGAGAATGTCAGCTCCAATAAACAAAAACTGACTGGGCTAATAGCTGAAAGCTTCTGCTCAACTTCAGTTAAGTGAATTGATGTTTTTGTTCTCTCTCTGTCTCTCTGTCTCTCTCTCTGTCTCTGTCTCTCTCTGTCTCTCTCTGTCTCTCTCTCTCTCTCTTTCTCTCTCTCTCTCTCTCTCTCTCTCTCACACACACATACACACACCCACACCCTAACTCCATAGTAAGTGTATGATCATGTGCACCAACCCACCCTCGATTATGGGGTTTTTATATGAAGCAGCATATGCTGCTGAAAGTCATGTGGTGTGCTTTGGAAATGACTGGAAATTTCTCCAGGTTTCTGTTTGTATCAACTAGCAGCAGCAGACACAAAGGTCTCTGCTGTCAGCACCTGCTCAGGACAGCCATCCTTGCAGGTTAACGGGGTTGACCTGAGGAGCTCCAGCCACGAAGAAGCCATCACAGCCCTGAGGCAGACCCCCCAGAAAGTACGGTTGGTGGTATACAGAGACGAGGCACATTACAGGGATGAGGAGAACCTGGAGATTTTCCCTGTGGATCTACAGAAGAAGACTGGCCGAGGACTGGGCCTGAGCATCGTTGGAAAACGGTAAGGACATGTTTAAGTCAAGATTGGCCTTTCCAGTTCAGCTGCTGGGGACTAATACATCTGTAAACCTAGTGATGCGATTTCTAAGGTGTCTCATGCTTGGATAGAGTTGGACGCAGCGGGACACCTGTGATTCCAGCTGGCCCTCTCTGTTGAAGTCTGTCCTCAGCATACAATAAGGGTTATAGTGATTGCTTTGGGATGTTAGTAGATTTCTCTTGCATGTGTGGGTGCAGAGCAACTCTGGAGCCAATATTGACGGTTCTTTGTATCCCTGGAGAGTCCCAGTTAGAGAATGGCTGTTTTGTTTTGTACTTTTTTGTTTTTTGAGACAGGGTCTCACTGTGTAACCCAGACTGGTCTCAAACTGGCAGCAATCCTGGTGTCTCAGCTTCCTGAGTGCTGGGATCCCTGACATGCACCACAACACATGGCTTGTTTTTCCTTACTGTCATGTGCTAGATTGATGAAGTGATCATCATACAGCACCTGCATTTCAAGTTGAGTATGAAAGAACTTTTATATCCCTTAGCATGAAACTTTCCATTATAAAGGAGCAGTTGTGTCTCTCAAACTTTACAGTTCCTTTTTTTTTTTAATGTGTATGAAGGTATTGCCTGCATGCATGTAAGTGCACCTGTGTCATGCCTTGCCCATGGAAGCAGAAGAGGGCATCAGATTCTCCTGGAACTGAAGTTACAGACAGTTGTTAGTCATCATGTGGGTGCTGGGAATCAAACCCAGGTCCTCTGTAAGAACAGCCACTTGCAGATGTTTATTGCACATTGTTTATAATAACTAAAAATAGAAACAATCTGTATGCCTATCATCAGTTATTAATAAGTGAAATTATGGAACATTCACACAGTAGCATTCAGCCATAAAAATGAGGATGCTCCAAGTGCTAATAAAGATGAGTTGAAAGCAGGGAAGATGGTTTGGTTTGAGGCCACATGCTTAGCTTATATGATGCCCCTGGGTTCAGTCTTTAGCTTTAGCATTCTTTCCCCCATAAAAACCAATTGCACAATGTACCTAATTAAAAAAAAAAAATTAAGGGGCTGGAGAGATGGCTCAGCGATTAAGAACATTGGTTATTCTTACAGAAGACCTGGGTTTGAATCCCAGCACCCACATGGCAGGTAACAACTGTCCTAACTCCAATTCCAGGGGATCTGAAGCCGCCTTCTGTCCTCGACATGGGTGCACTTACCTACATGCAGGCAATACAAGCATACACATAAAATAAAAATAATAAATAAAATATTTTTTTTAATTAAATAAGACAAAGCCAAACATGGTTGCCTACACCCATAATTTCAGCACTCAGGAAGCTGAAGTAGGAGAATTGCCACAACTTTGTGGCCTTTCTGGGCTACAGAGTAAGAACTTCAAAGAAAAAAACAAAGGGAGGGAGGGAGGGAGGGAGGGAGGAAAAGCCAGGCATGATGGCACATGCCTTTAATTACAGCACTCAGGAGGCTGAGCCAGGCAGAGCTCTGTGAGTTCAAGGCCAGCCTTGTCTACATAATGAATTCTAGATCAGTGATCTTTTTAATTTTGTGTATATGTTTGGGTTTGTACACCTGAGTGCAGTGCCCACGAAGGCCAGAAGAAGGTGTTGGATACCTCTGGAGCTGGTTGTGAACTATCCAACCTGGGTGCTGGAGACTGAACTCTGGTCCTCTACAAGGGAAGTGCATGCTTTTAACCAATGGGCCACTTCTCCAGCCCCAAGATATATACTTTTTAACCTCTTCAATTTTGAAATATAAATGTATTTAGCAAATGAAAACAGTTAAAACCAAAAATAGGGTGCTGGGGGATGTAGCTCAGTTGGTAGAGTACTTGCCTAGCATGCATGAAGCCTTGGGTTCAATCCCCAGCACCACATCAAACAGTCATGCTGGTACAAGCCTGTAATCCTAGCACTGGGGAGGTAGAGGCAGGAGGATCAGAAGTTCAAGGCCAGCCTGGTTACAGGAGACTATCTCAAAAAGGGGTGTGGGGATGTTGAAAATAATGAGGGCAGTAAAAGAGTGAGGAGAGGGTAAAAAGTAGATTAGAAGCAGAACAGCCTGGGGCCAGCAAGATGGCCACCAAGACTGACCACCTGCCTTTGATCCCTGGGACCCACATGGTGAAAGGAGAGGACCAACTCCACAGGTTGTCCTCTGACCGCCACACATGCACTAGCACATGCCATGTGCCCACACAAATATAAATAAATGTTAATTTTTAAAAAATTTTAAGAAATAGATCAGGTAAGCAATTGGGCTCTCCTCTAGGAAAGTAATTTACTCCTCTTGTTTCTGTTTTGGGTGTTGGGGATCAACACACCAACTCCCTTGTACATGCTAGGCAAGCAGTCAGCCACTGAGCTCTACTCCAAACTTCTGCTTTTTTTAAAGTAAATTTCTGCCAGGCATGGTGGTACACACCTTTAATCCCAGCACTGGGGAGGCAAAGGCAGGTGGATCTCTGTGAGGCCAGCCTGGTCTACATAGCAAGTTCTAGGCCAGCTGGGGCTAAAGGGAGACCCTGTCTCAAAAAGAATAAATAGCTGGGCGTGATGGTGCATGCCTGTAGTCCCAGCACTTGGGAGGCAGAGGCAAGCGGATCTCTGAGCTCAAGGCCAGCCTCGTCTACATAGTGAGTTCCAGGACAGCTCGGGCTACAGGGAGACCCTGTCTCAAAAAGACCAAAAAAAAAAAAAAGAGAGAGAGAGAGAGACTAAATAAATAAATAAAATAAAATAAAGGTAAATTTCCATTTTCCTTTACTAAAATTATCATCTTCCCAGTGCTGGGATCACAGACTTATACCACCAATAAAAAACAGACACACAATAGGCAAAAATAAATAGACCATAGGCAAAATTGAATATATAATAGATAACCCCAATAGGCTTAACCTGAAGTTTCTTATTTAGAAGGTTAGCAGATACCATTGGACTTAATGGCTCTGTAGAGCCCTTCTGAGTTTAGAATTTAGTATCTCTATTTAGAAAGTAATCTCTAGTTTAAATTAGAAACTAACTGGCTGCGCCAATCCCACGATGCTTGGTGACATTAACAGGAGCGGAAGCGGAGTGTTTATTTCTGACATTGTGAAAGGTGGAGCTGCAGACCTGGATGGGAGGTTGATTCAGGGAGACCAGATCTTGTCTGTGAATGGAGAGGACATGAGACATGCCTCACAGGAAACAGTGGCCACCATCCTCAAGGTGAGTCCAAAGCATGCTGGTTGGCCCAGTTTGCCTTCATTATGAAGTGGGTTGTTTTTGCTCTCTAGTTTTTGTTGTTTTAAATATTTTTACTTATTCTTTGAGAAATTCATACAGTGTATTTTGATCATATTCACCCCCACTCCTGACCCTAACTCCTGTCAGGGCCATCCCCACCCTTCCCCCAACTTCATGTCTCCTTTTTTTTTTCTTTTTTTAAAAAATAACCCATTAACTTCAATTTATGCTGTTTATATACTCCTGGATGTGGGGCCATCCACTGAAGAGCAATCAACTTTACCATTCACATCCTTAAGGAAAACTGACTCTCCCTCTCCCCAAACTGTCCCTCTCCATCAACTGTCCATCCTCTGGTTATTTCAAATGATCAGGAATAGCTTTAAAAGAAAGCTGTCATATTGACAAACCAAATGGAAGGGACCTGCTTGGGGACCTGGAGACTAGTGTTTCATGCTTGTGAGCTTAACTGTCCACAGTGGCCCTGTAACTTGCTGGAAGGAATGTGCTGTCCTGGGTGTGGAATTAGTCATACTCAACTTTGATGACTAGAAAGAGATGTTGACTATCATCCAGATCAAATTTCACAGGTGAAAACCAAAAAGTATGTGTTCCCAAATCACAAAGCTCTGCTTGAGGTTTGCTCTGGCCCTGGCACCCTCTCTGAGTGTGTGGAGACTGGAGGTTCTGCCTTACGGACCTTTTCCCCTTCAGCTCTACCCAGGTGCATCTTACTTTGAATTTCACAAGTAACCATGGAACCTTGTGTACTGACAGATTTTGTTTTAGGAATCTGAGTTTTTGGTACAGTCAGCTCAGTTACTCCCCAAAAGAGGACCTGAATTTGTGAATTATCTCTTGTCTGATTTCCCACGCTGCTCTTTACTACTTTTTCTTGATTATTTTGCTGAACACTTTCGTCAGAAAAAACAGGGAAAAAGAGAGGTGTATTAACATCAAATCCTTTTAATACATTTGAAGGGGTCTCGGGTTAAATGCCGCTGAGTTCCTTTGTATTCTGGTGTTTGGATGACTGTGCAAGCCTTGGCTGCAGAAATGGAGGTCCTGCTCTAGTGCTTTAGAGCATAAATGTTACTGTGATTCATTTTTGTCCTTTTCTCGTCTTCCCAAGTGTGCCCAAGGGCTTGTGCAGCTAGAGATTGGGAGATTCCGCGCCGGTTCCTGGGCCTCCTCGAGGAAGACCTCACAAAACAGCCAGGTTGTTGATGGGTTCTCGATAGACTTACTCTCCTGCTCCCATTGGAAGAAAGTTCTTCATTTCATAACTGATTATTTAGAAATAATGTCCGATGTGTAGCACATTCATAATATCAGCTTCAGTGTGTTTTCATGTGTTTGAAATCAAAATGAAAGGTGGGCTGGAAATTCATTAAGTCCTACATTTTTCTCTCCTTGATTGCCGGCAAATGTTTTCTTAGAACCATTTTCCCTCCCACTATTCTATATTGCCCATGCACACATGTACACAGCTGTGTTTATCTTAAAAAGGGAAAAAAGAGGTAACATCTGGTGACAATTTGACCCTCATTAGCACAACATTGTTCTCTTCATCCAATTAAATATTGCTGTAAAGTTAACTTGTGAATAGCCACTCACACATGCTGAGGGCAATTAATGGTGTATTCCTAGGAGAGTGGAGTATAGGGGTTTCTCTTAAGGTGGGGAGGTATTAGTGGGTGAGATTTTGTGGGTTAGCAAACATTTATTTGCAAGTCTGATGTAAGTGCCACCTTTTTTTTTAAACAAAGTATTTTCACTGTATTTTTTTCCTGTTATTATAGGTGACACAATCAAGATGGTATATAGTCTCCCTGGGGTTTATGGACAGGCCTTTGTTTTGAGGTTAAAGTGTGACTTTCAGCCTTCTCTTAGTTGCCTTACAACTACAGTCTCTCCACAGCCACTGTTTAATGCTGTAGAGTTGTGGTGAGCACACGGGTGCTTCTGCAAGGCTGTTAGCTGCCTCTTTGCCTCATTACTGTTAGAAAATGGTCAACAAGAAAGATATTATTGAGGGCCTTCGAGGTGGCTCAGTAGATAAAGGCACTTACACCAAGCCTGACAACCTGAGTTCAATCCCCAAGACCCACATGGTGGAAGGAGAGAACTGACTCTCAAAAGTTGTCCTCTGACCTCCATTTCCATGCATGGTATGCACACCCCTACACACACACACATGCACATAGATGCAATAAATTATATATGTATATATTATATATACATATATAATTGATCAGAAATGATACAGACAGCACTATGTTAAATTTGGAAACGCCCCCACTTCCACTTCTGGCTTATACAATAAGCAGCAGATGTACATACACAGAGCTCCTGTGGGATTCTACAAGTGAATAATCAATGTTGATTCTGTGTAGATTTAAGTTGATAGAGGGAGCTAGAACTGCAAAACAGTAGTCTCAGCCAGGCTTCTTCGCTGGCCTAAGACTCACTGTTAATGGTTTCATTATAGTCCCTTTGCACACAGGAGGCTAGAGTACAGAATGAACCATACTGGGGGTAAAATTGTTCTTCCTGCTGGAGTATGGGACGGCTACAGAGGGGAAGTTGCATTGGCTCTGCCCTTAAGAAGGTTTAAGGAAATGAGCAGACTCCAGAGAGAGGAGATGTGTACAGGCTAAGAGGGATAGGAAGAATTTGTGTATTTTAAGATGTTTGGGCTAACAGCCAAGGTGTTGGGTAGCACCAGTTTCTGACACAACCCCCAACCCTGGGAATGTATATAAATAAGCATCCTCATGATTAACAAAGTTCACAGTTGAACCCAGGGTTCCACGCATGCTAGGCAAGCACTCTACCACCTGTGCCATATCCCTAGCCCTATATTTGTTTTTAATATATCTTACCTAATCCCCGAAAGAATTGTAAGTTTGCACAATTTGTTTTTTAAGAATAGTTTAAGACAAACCACTGGTTCATAAATTTACTGCATTCGGTCCCAAGCACCAAATAAATTGGGCATGGTGACATACACCTGTAATCCCAACACTCAGGGAGGTAGAGGTCAGAAGATCACAAGTTCAAGGTCATGCTCAACCACATAGCAAGTTTAAGGCCATGAGACTATCTCACACCAAAAAAAATAGTATATCCATCCTAAAGTATACTAATATCTACAATTTATATAAAAATGAACTTTTAAAAGATGAAGTAATTGATGACTACATGATATGTGATAAAGAAAATATAGACATTTTATTTTTGTTTTTATCAGAGATAGGGTCTCAGTTATGCCTCGGCTAACCTCAAACTCATGATTCTCTTGCATCTACTTCCCTGGTCCTTGGAGTACAGATGTATATACTACATCTGGCATGAAAACATAAATTTTTTAATTTTGGAATCTAGGTAGTATGTACATGTATAGCTATAATTCTTTAAACTTTTCTAGTTATTTGAATTTTTTTTTTATTTAAGGAGTATTAGGCTGGGTGTGGTGATGCACACCTCTAATCTTAGAACTTGAGAGACAGAGGATGTTGGATCTCTGTGAATCAAGGTCAGCCTGGCCTATATAGTAAGTTCCAGGCCAGCCAGGGCTGCAAAGTGAGTAAGACCCTATCTCAAGAAAACAAAAATGTATGGGCTGGAGAGATGGCTCAGTGGTTAAGAGCATTGGATGACCTTACAGAGGACCCAGGTTCAGGTCCCAGGACCCACATAGTGGCTAACAACTGTCCATAACTCCAGTTCCAGGGGGATCTGACACCCTCTTGGTGAACTTGTATATGTGCAGGCACAACACTCATACACATAAAATAAAAATAAATAAATAAATTTTTAAATCTGTAACCAGATGTGGTAGCACGCACCTTTAATCTAAGCCCTCAGAAATAGGGGTAGGTAGATCTCCGAGACTGAAGCCAGCCTGGTCTACACAGCAATTTCTAGGCCAGCTAGGGCTTCAGGGAGACCCTATCTCAAAAATAAATAAATAAATAAACTTGTTCCATAGTTAAATAAATGCTCGTATAATTTACCAAGATTCTGGGGGTATAGCTCAGGAGTAGAGCACTTGCTTCACCTCTGTGAAACCTTGAGTTTGATCCTCCCCCACACTTGTAATCCCTGCACTCAGGAAGCTAAGGCAGAAGGATCTAAGTTCAAGGCCAGTTTGCATCACATAGTTTTTGTCTCAGAAGCAAAGTAAAACACAAAGTATCAAATGATAATAGTGATAGTAGTCTTAACTTAAAATTTCAGGGCAGTCTTGATAGGCTTGATAATTAGGCAGAAAAATTATAGATGATATTGTCTACATTAGAAAGGGCCTTGAATGCATCCAATTCTGAATAGTCACTAGCCATAAATGACTATACATTATAGATCTCAAATATTTACTTAAGTGAGGAAGAAGTTTAGATAACAGGTATAGCAGGTTGGATTGAAATATTACTGTTGTAGGAAATGAAAGTAATATAATGAAAAAATGAAAGTAATATATCCCTAAAATAAATCATTTTTACTTTGACATTTGCCACCATCTCTTAGAAATATGGCTTCTATTCAATCTACTTTCTGTTAATTGAGGGTTTAGTACACTTGGTTTAGCAAAATACATAATACAGTGTTCTCATTTGTTTCTCCATTGCTGTGACAAAATACTCTGACCAATACTGACTTGGGGAGTAAAGGGTTTATTTAGCTTACATTTCCCGGGTCACAATTCGTCAGGGAGCCCAAGGTAGGCACTCAGGGCAGAAACCTGGAGGCAGGAGCTAGAGCAGACCATGGAGGAACACTGCTTAGCTTGCTCCTCTGGTCTGTGCTCAGTTTACTTTCTTATACAACATAGGCCCACCTGCCCAGGTATGGCACAACCCACAGTGGCCTGGGCCCTCCCACATCACTCAATAATGAAGAAGACGCCCCACAGGCACGGCCACAGGCCAGTCCAATGGAGGCAACTCACCAGTGAGGCTCCCTGGACTCAGGTGTGTCAAGTTGACAACTAAAGCTGTCCAGCACCTATAGTTTGGATAATAAGGAAATCGTGTTGCCTGTTCCCCCAAAGGACAGTGCCCATTCACTTGACTATTCTAACATTATGGCAACCTTTGAAAAGTTTGACTTCATGTGGAGCAAAAACAGCTAGAATGATTGTTTCTACAGTCGTGTCTGAAATGCATTTGAAAGCATATACAGAGGAGATAGCAAAGGAGAAAGTGCTAGGCCGAAGGACAGTAAGGGGGCTGGTGCAGTGACTGGTTTTCTTCCTTAGCCTCTTCAGAATTTTCTGTTAAATGACCATGGTAACCTGAACCACTGGCAAACCAATGATAAGGATACATTTTTAGGGCCATGAAAGTGCCTGCAGTCAAGTGACCACCATGTCTCCTTTTCAGGTGGATCGGCACAGTGCACACAGCACCTGCCGGCCTTCTTTGGCCCCTGTCATCACTAGCCTGCAAAACCTGGTTGGCACGAAAAGAGCTTCTGATCCTCCCCAGCAGAGTCCAGGTATGGCAGACACACCCCAGAAAAATCAGTCTTCTCGTCTTTGATTTAAATGTTTGGGGTTGGAGAGATGGCTCAGCAGCTAAGAGCACCAGCTACTCTTGCAGGGGACCCAGGTTGGGTTCCTAGCACCTACATTGCAACTAACACCCTTTGGTAACTCCAGTTCCAGGGGATCCAATGCCCTCTTCTGGCCTCTTTGAGCATTGCATGACATGAGTACACTTACATATATGTAGGCACAACACTCATACACATAAAAATAAAAAATAAAAATAAATAAATAAAGTATTTTTAATGTCTGAGCTGGGCCACAAGAAGCCACAGCTTTTCTGAAAGGCCTTCTCCGAGGGAGGGGAGCCCTAGATAGTCAAGTCAGAAGTGGACTATGGACCACATACCTGTAATTTCAACACTTGGGAGGCTCAGGCAGGAGACTAGCGTGGCCTACAGAATAAGTTTGTGCCGGGAACTCGAACCCATGACCCCCGGCGAGGTGAGGATTGGGGATGAGTAAGAACGCTGTTCACCAGCCCACACCGCCCCCATTACCCGGGTACACTCAGACGCAATGGGGAACTTAGTCAAGCTGGGACTCATTTATTGCAAGTGTTCCAAAGCTTATAAAGGCACCTGGAACTGCCCCCCCCAGGGGGGGGTTGTATCTTAAGGATGGTCATGTGCTGATCATGCACTCCTCAGCAGTGTGGAAGTATTCTTCAGACTTTCAAGGCAAGCCAGGCCGCGCCCCCAGTAACTTCCTTTCGGACCTATGCAAGGTGGGGCTTTTAGGTCCCCACAAGTTTGAGGACAGCCTGAGCTACTTAGTGTGACCTGTTTCAGAAGTGGAAGAAAAGGCACAGATCACATGAGCAATAGAAAAGCATAAAATTGGAATGCATCAGAAAGTACGGTTGTCCTGGTTGGCTTAGAACTCTCTATGTAGACCAGGCTGGCCTTGAACTCACAGAGATCTGCCCACCTTTGCCTCCCAAGTGCTGGGATGAAAGATGTGTGCCATGTCGCCTGGCTCCCCCCACATTCTTACTGCTACTATGGGGCTCTGAGGGGGTAGGGTCTTCAGTTGGAAGAGTCCCCACACATGTTCTTTGCCCCATCTCAGCTGGTGACTGCCACTGTGTTCATGGATAGTAGGGAAGTCACACTTTTTAAAAATACTATCAAAAAGCCGGGCATGGTGGCACATTCCTGTAGTCCCAGCACATGGGAGGCAGAGGCAGGGGGATCTCTGTGTGTTCAAGGCCAGCCTGGTCTACATAGTGAGTTCCAGAACAGCTGGGGCTACAGGGAAACCCTGCTTCAAAAGAAAAAAAAAAAAAAAAAAGTATGGCTGTTTAGAGAGAGCATGAATACATAACAGGTAGCTGGAGGGAAGTGGGAAATATATCTGCTCTTGGATACAGAGCAAGGACAGGGATATCTTTAAGTCTCTCTTGGGTGAGAGTTATCCTAGAACAAGGCAGAAAAATGCACAGTGAAACACAAATGGCTCATCCCCCAAGTCTTGAGTCGCCATGTTTTGGACCATTGTTGCTATAGCCTGTCAGACCAAATGGTTACTGCTGCATCTAGCCACACAGGGAACACTGCCTCTGATGGCTTGGATGGCTCCTAATGCTAAGGAGGTGCTTGCTTGCTCTAGTATCAGTTCTTGAAAAACCCAGAAAAATGGGACTGTTTTTTATGGGAGAGTGTTATCCTAAATAGATTATCTCTGAATGAAGAGGCATTAATGAAGGGCTAGAGAGATAGCTCATCATTTAAGAGCACTGGCTGCTCTTGCAGAGGACCCAAGTTCAGTTCCCAGCACCCACATAGTGGCTGACTACCATACATAACTCCAGTTCCAGGGGAATCCAGTGCCCTCTTCTGACCTTCATGAGTACTGCACAACACAGGTGCCCTTAAATACATGCAGGCGATACACTCATACACATAAAATAAAAATAAAAAATAAAATATTGTAAATAAATAATAACAGACACTAATGCTTTGCTTCTTTACTTATAGGCACAGAGGTGGGACCAAGGACTGTTGAGATAATCAGAGTAAGTTCTCATTTTTATTCTAGTTTATGTTGGATTTACAAAAAAATGTGCATTCCCCCAGTTTATTGGATTGTTTATGTACTTTTCCAAGTTACTAAAGTATGCAACAGAAACAGACTTTAAAGAAAAATAGATCAAGGGGCTTGAGAGATGGCTCAGCGGTTAAGAACACTGTTCTTGCAGAAGACCCGGGTTCAAATCCCAGCACCCACATGGCAGCTGACAACTGTCTGTAATTCCAGTTCCAGGGGAATCGGACAGCCTCTTCTGTCCTTCACAGGCATTGCATGACATGGGTACACTTACCTACATGCAGGCATAACACTATTGATTGATTGATTGATTGATTGATTGATTGATTGATTGATTGATTGACTGATTGATCTTTTTGAGTCAGGGTCTCCCTGTAGCCCCAGCTGTCCTGGAACTCACTATGAAGACCAGGCTGGCCTCAAACTCACAAAGATCTGCCTACCTCTACCTCCCAAGTGCTGGGATTAAGGCGTGCGCTACCACACCTGGCTAAAAATAAAATATTTTTTAATAAAAAGAAAAATAGATCAAAACACATTAAATGACCACTGTGAATGTTTTGGTATATCCTGTTCATTATAGTGTATGTGTGTTTATTTAAATTTTATACAACAAGTAAATATGTTGGACATTCTCTTGTAGCTCATCTTCTTTATCTTGCTACATGAACTTTGAGTCACATCAGTGTTTTTGACAGTACAGACATGATTTGTATTGGTTATATAATATTTACTCCAGTTCGTGAATGTGCCTATAAATTTTTAACCAGCTTCCTCTTATTAGCATATTTCTCACTTTTTACCTTATATAACAAAATATATTTACATTCCTGCTATTTAATGGGTGATCACCTCAGGATTAATTCCTAGAAATGAGCTGTGAGATCCAAAGTCATGCTTAAGACCAGTGTGTGCAAGCCGGGAGTGGTGGCACATGCCTGTAGTCCCAGCACTTAGGAGGCAGAGGCAGGCAGATCTCTGTGAGTTCAAGGCCAGTCTAGCAAGTTCCAGGCTAGCTGGGGCTACAGGGAGACCCTGTCTCAAAAATAAAGACCAAAAAATAAATAAATAAATAAAAAAGACCAGAGCACACTCAGTGGTAAAGCACTTGCCTAGCATGGGCAAGGCCATACATTCCATCTTCAGCTTGGGGTTGGGGGTGCTTATTATTAAAAGCTTTCATACATGTTGAATTGCCCTTTTGAGAAGATTGTGGAAGGTTTATTTCAGTTCATAAATTTGTTAAACCCTGATCTTCAGGAATATTAGAAAGTAGACTTCTGTTTTAATCAGTTTGACTATAAATCTGGAGTTCAAGAGTAATAATAAGATTATGGCCCTGCTGTAATCAGAGTAATCTTCTGCAGTCAGGTGACCTGCACGGCTTAGTTCAGTGGATTCAATATCAGCTTTGTTTGAAAGTGCTCTACCACCCACTCATTTGACTGCCTTGGTGGCGCTTCCCTAACAACATATTATAGACCAGGTGCTTTCAACAACAGATGTCTATTTTCTCAGTTTTGAGGCTCAAAGTCCAATGTCAAGGTACTGACAGTGTTGGCTTTCCATGAGCTCTCACCCCTTGGCTTGCAGATGGCTGCCTTCCTGTGGTGGCCTCATGTGTCCTTTCCCTCATTTGGCTTGTTAATTTTGATGTCTGTACTATGTCACAACCTCCTCCTGTGAGGTTTCTTGGTATGAGATTAAGGCCAATTTAGCAGTCTTGTGTTAAAGACTCCATCTCCAAGTGCAGCCACATTCTGAAGAACCGGAACTCGGGACTTCAACATATGACTTTCAGAGTCAATTCATCTATAGCATTAGCTCACTGATCTTACAACAGTCAATCTTGTTTTCTCATCTATAGAATGTGGGTGTATGACTGACTCCTATCACAGACCAACATTTTGCATTGATTAAATGTTGGACCTGGTGGCTCATGCCTGTCATCTATCTCTATATTTGGGAAGCTAAGGCAGGAGGATTGTCATGAGTTCAAGATCAGCCTGGCCTACATAGTCATTTCCTAACCAACCTGGCCTACAGAGACCCTGTCTCAGAAAACCAGAAATCAGTAAATGAAGTAAGGCACATACATCATTTGAGTCCCTCTCACTGGCAGGAGGTAGCATCTGTTCTTCCTGGCTGTAGTGTAACAGTCATCTTGCTTGTTCCCACTATCTTTCTATCAAACTGGTGACTCAACTGTTCTTATGATGGTTAGTGAAATGCACCAATGGTAGCTACAACTGCTGTAAATCAAGGTCATATCATGACAACAGTTAAGGCCAAATTATTCTCCAAGTTTCTCCTCAGTCCAAGATTTTTTTTTTAATTTTTCTATTTCTTTAACCATTTCAGTCCTTTGTTTTTACAGGATTCCAAGCATGCCCACCCTATTCTCACATGGCCTGCACAGAGACTTTAATAGAACATTGCCCTTTGTACACAGGGCATTGACTATTGATGCATTTTGAAGGATGGTACATATTAGACACAAATGTTCTTAGAGCAGGATAGAAGCTCCTTGGAAAAGGAACACTGCTGTTACTCTGAATTATAGTTATGACATGGCAGCACTACTAGGAATAATTGATTTATCTCTATGATCTAAGATGGGTTTTTTTAATTTCATGCATGTGTTGTATGTGCGCATGTGTACACAGGCACACATGCCACAGTGCACATGAGAAGGACAGAGGCCCACGTCAAGAACTCCGTTCTCACCTCTACTGCAGCACTGTCTCTCGTTTGTGCTGCTGTGCTGTGTTCTCCAGCCTCCTGGGCCAACAGGCTTCCAGGCAGTTGTCTCCACCTCGTACCTCTGCATAGGAGGGCTGGGATTGCAGACGGGCACTCCTGCATCCAGGTTTTTATATGGGTTCCAGGGATTGTACTTGGATTTTCAGGCTCATGCTTATATCTGCTGACCCATCTTCATGACTTGTTTTGTTTTCTTTTTGGATTTGGTGCCAAACTTAGGTTCTACCACCCAGCTTCCCTCCCAGCCCCTACAAATCTGGTTTTGGATTTCTTCAGGCACAGTTTTTTGTAGCTACTTTGTTCTCTTTCCATATATTTTATTATTTTTATTTTATGTGTATGAGTGTTATGCCTGCATGTAGGTAAGTGCACCTGTGTTGCACAATGCCTGCAGAAGACAGAAGAGGCCGTCAGATCCCCTGGAACTGGAGTTACAGACAGTTCTTAGCTGCCATGTGGGTGCTGGGATTCAAACCCGGATCTTCTACAAGAACAACCAGTATTCTTAACCCATGAGCCATCTCTCCAGCCCGTCTATGAATATTTTCAAATAATAAGTTTTAACTGCAGAAGCGGTCTTTTACCACACAGAGTTGTCATGTGCTTACATCTGTATAAGTAGAGGTGGGCTTTTGGTCTTTTGTTTTGCTTTTTAAATATTTATCTTATTTTATTGTTATTACATATATATTTTAGTGTGTGTGTGTGTGTGTGTGTGTGTGTGTGTGTGTGTGTGTGTATCTCTGTGGGTATATGCATGTTGAAGCTAGAGGCATTGGCATTTGATCCCCTGGAGCTGGAGTTACAGACAGTTGTGAGTTGCCTGACGTGGGTGCTGGAAACTGAACACAAGTCCTCTGCAAGAGCAGTCTGCCCTCTTAACTGCTGAGCCGTGTCTCCAACCCTGTTTGTTTTGTTTGTTGTTTTGTTTTACCATGCTGAGGTTCTAACCCAGGACCTTGTACATACTATGCATTTTTGTATCAACTGAGAATTCCACCAAATGATGTTATAATTTTTGCTTTCACTGTCCTTTTTATTATGAAGAACCTTAGGAAAAAAATTGGTCACATTTTCCTGCATGTTGACAAACTTAAGATTTTATTCTGAGCCTCACAAATGGTTTAGTGTATCAACTCTGAATAATATAGATGCTTATGCTTTAGTGACAGTCAACCTAATTTGATTACGAGTGCGGTGTCTGTCTCACTTTTGTAGTAGTTCAAATCTCAGTTTAGTTATCCAAAGTTTCGGCGTGCCCATTAGGGATTGTCCCATACAGAGCTGCTGAGAACTGAGCCTGAGAATTCCATGCATCCATGCTCAGAATCAGGAATTGCTTCTCTCTCTGCCTCTTTTCAGTCTCCATTTTCTTCCCTCACTCTACAGCTGCCAGGAATGCCTCTTCCTGGTTCTGCTGCCCAGAAGGATGGAGTTTGCATCAGAATTTCATTAGTTCACCCCCTTTTCAGCTCCCAGCTTGATTGGGAGTCGCCCTCGGAGCAAAGATATGGTACATACACGTGGACACATGGATATATATACACACATAGACACATACACAGAGACATGCATGAATACATACACAGACATGGACACATACATACCCACAATACATACACACACACACACACACACACACACACACACACACACACAGAGACATACATGAATACATACACAGACATAGACACACACATACCCACAATACATACACACACACACACACACACACACACACACACACACACACACACACGGCAGTGTATAGTGTGTCCCCTGCTGTCACTTCTCCAAATTTTCATTCACCACCACACAGTTCATTTAGTTTGCTGCAGGCCGTTGTTTTTTTACATTTTGACTAGACTTTTCCATTACAGTCTACAGAAGAGATAGATGTGTGTATGCATGTGTGTCAGCATGCCAGAATTAGAACTTATCACTTGATCTTTTAGTGATTTTAAAAATAAATATTAACCCTATGATTCAAATGGGACGAGAGCCAGGTCTCTGCACCAGGGTCCATCTTCGCAAATATTTCTGGCTCTGTTTTGCTTCCCTCTCTAAACTGTTGTCACGACAGCGGGTATCTTCTAAGCTCCTTTGTTTCAATGCACTTGTGCAGCTCTTTTGAAGCCAAGTGTGTTTGTTCACACCCAGAAGAACATGATGTGTGTGGCAGTTTAATCATAAACACCATATGAAAACATACTTGCCAAGACTGCGTCAAATTGGCCACTACATGGAGCAGTAGTGTGGGCTTTTGTTTTTTAGTTTCCTCCTGCTATTGGCTTCTATTGAGCCTTTTCTATAGGCCAGCACAGCACTATGTTATCTTGTACTCAAACCATCACTGCGTACTAAGCAGCGTTCTTCCCAACTTGTGCATAAAATGGAAGCTCAAAGAGATGAACTTCTCCAAAGGCTACAGATAAGAGCACAAGCTGACAAGGGCCTTTCGGATACCTAGACCTGCACCTAACTCCCATGTTACCCTGGCCTCCTACATCATGGAGTCTGTTCAGTGCAATCTGTAGACAGTCTGCCTGTGTCTCTTTATTAAACATGCGAGCCTTATGTTTTCTTTCTTTATTAGGAGCTCAGCGATGCCCTTGGAATCAGTATCGCTGGAGGAAAAGGAAGCCCCTTAGGCGATATCCCCATATTTATTGCCATGATTCAGGCCAACGGAATGGCTGCACGTACACAGAAGCTTAAGGTAAACAGGAGGACTGCAGAAGGGCTGGCAGCGTGTGTTGGGTTGGAGAGGAGGCTGCAGCCATGGCACCCTGTTTAAAGTTGGAATTGCAAAAGCCATCAGAGACCCATGCTGAGGGCAGAATGCCTTAGAGAAACTGTATACCTGGAATTCATTAGGTCCCTGGGTATATAAAAATGTTATTGTTTGCACCAAAGCTTCCCAATAAAAGAAGGACTCACAGACCCTTTGCTAAACTTTTCATGCCCATTTTAGCACCTCATTCACCTAAAATTGGTTTTCAACTCAGATTTGACCTTAGAATCTTCCCCCAACCAAAAGAATCAACATTTTTACAATTATTTTTTTCCTTACTGCCTCTTAATCTTAACTGAAATATAAAAATACAGCAGGAAATATTTGGCTTCCTCGTTAGAGCTTTATTGAACAGTTAATTTGTGCACCCCACTATTACTGGCGAGTGGATGTATAAAACACCACTATTACTAAAATACAAAAGTGACCTGTGGTGCCTTTTAGTAATCAAATCTGACCCCCGTCTTGTTTCTCTGATTGGTCTGCGTTTGGGGAAAGCCATAAAAATCCCCCATGTTCCTGGAAAACGCACACACAGCAGACGCACAATCTCAACAATACAGTAGATGGGAAATATAACTTACAAAGAATTTTAAGCATTCTTCTCAAATTTAATTTTTCTTAATGACAGTGATTTTCTCCCACTTTTGTCCTCCCAGGTTGGAGATCGGATTGTGAGCATTAATGGACAACCTCTGGATGGACTGGCTCACGCAGATGTGGTTAATCTGCTGAAGAATGCCTACGGGCGCATTATCCTGCAGGTATGGCAATCAATGGAGAACGCAGCTGGGAAAGGCAGATAAGTGGCAGGAGAAAAGATGGACCGTCACTAGCAGCCGGCACCACCACCCAGCAGGGTGCCTGCCGATGTGAATTATGAAGGTTGAAAGCAAGAAATTATTATTTTTATTCAGAAATCCTTTAACACCACCCATACAGGCAGTGAGCAGCTTGGATGAAAGCGCAACAAGGGGAGAAAAATGATTCTACTTCACGTGGTAAATCAACAAGGCTTTTAGCTACTGGCGTTCCTTTGTAAATGGAAGTTTGCAAGGAATAGGAAATGATTTCCTTTCTTCTATCCAAAGACAGTTACGGGGCTGCCCAAGCACCGTTTCCTATCCCTTTAAAGGAAGAGAAAAATACAATGCTCTTTTTCCCATGCCATAAATGGTTGTCAGCACTGTGAAGCTCTTACTGCATAGTAGTTATCAATTAAGGCAGACAATTATTGATCAGCTGTGGCCCCGTGAGTATTGTCCAGAGAAAAATCCAAGGAAGTAAAAGCAAAATGTACTGTTAATTACCCCTCCGTCTCCTTCAGGCCTCTATTCACCTCTGAGCTGCCATGCAGAGGCAGGGAAGGCTGCAGACTGCAGTGATTTTCATTAATGAGTGCCCCCAAAATGAAGGCTAATAGTCAGCACACTTTCTGCAGAGGTAGCTTTAAATGATTTCTAGGTAAAAAGGATAAAACCCACAGCCAGCATTCAACTAATTCTAACCTTTGAATAAGACTGGATTGAAAAACCATGACATTTGGGAGAATTGATGCATGGTTCTTAACTCTAACATCTAAGTGGTCTAGGTCCAAAGTGACAAAGCACATGTGAAGGAGGGTCATGAAATGCTGGCTGTGGTTTCCAGGGAGTTGAGCATTAGGCCAAATATTATCATTTGGGTCCTCAAGTTTCTACTATACACAGACCAAAACCTTGTACAGATAAGCCTTGATCCTGCTTCCCCTCAGCTGCTTGTCCTCACTTTTGGTGGAAAGTTCCTGGCACAGTTACCTCACATTCCTCCTACAAAGTACTTTTTGTTTGCCCAAGTGCTCATCTTTCAAGTTATACTGACTCCTAGAGTCACACATTACAAGTGCACCCCTTCACTGTGAGCAGGTACCCTCAATGAGCATAAAACAGCATCACTTGGGATGGGAACCATGACAAGAAAAAGGCACTCTCTTAGCAGTATCTCACACTATTTGGCACTTTTGCACACTAATTAAATCCATTCAGCTCCACCTTCTTCACAAAGAAATAAGACATAACTTGGAGCGCAGTGGTAGAACACATGGGCTTAGCATGCACAAAGCCCAGGATTGAGTCCCCAGCGCCTCCCCCCAAAGGGAAATAATGTAAAAGTATAACATTAACTAAATTTAAAAATTACCTTAAGAGCACTGCAGAGGCTGCTCCTGCAGAGGACCTGGGTTCAGTTCCCAGCATCCACATGGCAACTAACAACCATCTGTAACTCCAGTTCCAAGAGATCCAATGTTGTCTGTCTTCTGACCTCCACCGGCATTGCATGACATGGATGGGTGCAGGCAGGCAAAACACTCATAAACATAAGAAAAAATTAAAAATAATATATTTTTTAAATATTTTAAAAATTACCTTGTAAGGCATGGTGACACATTTGTGTAATCTCAGCAGTAGGGGCAGGGCAGGAGAGTCAGGAGTTCAAAGCTACCCGTGGCTACATAGTTGAGTTGGAGGCCAGCCCTGGGCTATGTGAGAACCTGTCTAAAAAAAAAAGAAAAAGAAAAAAGTTACCTTACAGAAGCTGGATTTAATGGCTCTCACCTATTATCCCACTCTCTGGAGTCTGAGGCAGGAGGATCAGGAGTTCAAAGTCAGTCTTGGCTCTGTAGCAAGTCACAGGCACATCTGGACTACATGAAACCCTGTCTCACAAAAAAAAAATAATTTCCTTGTAAAATTAACATGTCATTCCAGTCAGGTTGCTGATGTTAATATACTTTTCTTAAAGATTTTGCTTATTTTTATTTTATGTGTATGAGTGCTTTGCCTGCATGCTTGAGAGTACACCTGGTGCCCACAGAGTCCAGAAGAGGGCATTGGAGCCCCTGGAACTGGAGTTAAGGGTAGTTGTTAGCCACCGTATGGGTGCTGAGACCTGAACCAGGGTCCTCTGTAAGAACAGCCACTGCTCTTAACCACCGAGCCATCTCTCTAGCCCCATTAGCATTATTTTTTAAAATATCTTTTTTGAAGTAATAAGTATACGTTTGATTTCAGATTAAAAACCAAGAGAGAGGAACAGTGATCACTTCTGCCCCAATCTGTCACAGCTACTTTTTATTTTTTCAGTGTTTTGGGTTTTTTGTGTCACACCAGGTCTCTTAGTATATCTCTGGCTGGCCTTGAACTTAAAATCCTCCTGCACAAGACCCATGCAAACTCAAGCAGACAAAAACCCAGCACAGAACTGGGGAAATGGAGAGCAGACCCCAATCTTAGTCAAAGAATTATTGGCAGCTGATTACTGCTGCATTGAGGAAGAGCTGATCTTCCTAAAGTGAGTGTCTCCACATAGGCTGACTAGACCTCAGTAGGTGAACTTGCACTGAGGAACGTCTGGGGACACTAACTTGACACAATAGGCCTAACACAAATGGGAGGGTGCCAGTGGGGAAGGGGGTATTAAGATTGATTGAGATGATCTGAATGAAATATGCAGAATCCAATAAAAAAAATGTTAACAACAAAAAAATCCTCCTGCCTCAGCCCCTAGAGTGCTGAGATTACAGCCCTGTGTCACTATGCCTGATTCACTGTTAATCTATATTTGAAAGAGGCCCTTAATTTTCCTATTTCTGTATTTTTCAATGTTTTTTATGTGCATGAGTGTTTTGCCTGCATGTGAGTAAGTGCACCACATGTACATAATACCCATGGAGGCCAGAAGAGGGTCAGGGACAGTTGTTAGCCACCACATGGGCTCTGGGAACCGAACCTAGGTCCTCTGCAAGAGTAGCCAGTGCTCTCAAGTGCTGGCCCATCTCTCTCCAGCCCCTATTTCTGTATTTTAAGGAGAAAATTACATTTGATTTTGAAGTGTTCTCTCTTGAATCATGTTAGTTGGTATTTTCATTTTCTCACCTTCACTGTGAGCAAATCAGTGGATCCTCTGAGGAGTCCACAGCTGTTATCTTCACACTCACAGATGTGGAGCATACGCACCTGCAGACACTGTGGACACAAAGGCCAGCGAGCGGTAATGTCCTGTGTCAAGGGCCTTCTAGTCACGTGGTGTTTGCTTTAATTAAAACAATGTGCACAGAGTAGTACTACCAGCACAGTTGCATCATAGTTGGCTTGTCGCTAGGCAATTATTTTTATCATCAGATAAGCCAAGCCCATTGGCAGAGAAGTAGAAAAGGTCAGATAAGTTGCCAGATGACATAGAAAGAGACATTGGTCTGTGGGTATGTGCACGTGTGCAGGCCAGAGGTTGTTCCTAAGTTGCAGTCCACTTTCAGCAAGCCCCAGCCTGTCTCCACCTTCTCCAGTCCTGGGATCACAGTCACAAGCCACCACTCCCTGCTTTTTACCTGGGTGCTGGGGAGCAAACTCAGGTCCTGATGCTTGTATGGCAATGCTTTACCAACTAAGCCATCTTCCCAGCCCATGAAAAGATTTACAGGGTGTCCTGTGATGCCATCAGCAAGTGCTGATTACAGTCAGGGTCAGCAGACTATAGGGTGGAGAATGAAGACACCCAACACTTCTAGAAGCTTGCTGTCTCTAAGTATAACACGGAGGTAGATAATTTATGCCCTTAGAGTCTGATGGTTGCTTATTGACAGTTACAGATTAAACAACTGAGATTGATTAGGCTATTTTAAGAATTTCTAAATGTACCTAATTTTATTTGCTTCTTATAATTTGAGAGTTTGTCTTATTCAATCTTTTGCCTATATTGGAATTACTATAAACCCATCTACCCCACACTACCCCCTCCCCCCTTTTTTGACAAAAAAGAAAATGTGAAAGATTTTTATCACTACTTGTAGTGCTGGGCTTTGGAGAATGGAGGCAGCATTAACTAACACAGGGCAGAGTTTATGGAATAAAGTACTCTTTTTTTTTCTTTTTCAAATAGTCTCATGAAGCCCAGGCTGGCTTCACTATGTAGCCAAGGCTAGCTTGAACTCCTGATCCCAATGCCTTTGCTTTCTGAGCTCTGGATAGCACTGTAGTTTGGGACACTGTGGAGAGGCCCAGCAGTATCTCAGCAGAAGAATCACACGGCCCATGCCCAGGGAGATGTCAGTGCTGGAAACAGAAGGTGGCAAATGAAGCCACCTAAACTTTTCAGTGTCAACATCCCTTTGCCTGGCACAAGGCACCTATTCTTTGGATAAATGAATGAAAATGGAGGAGACAGAACATAACGGCTTGGCCAGGAGCAAGGCTGGAGGTCAGAAGAAAATCTTTAAATCAAAGAGACAATAATTAAGGGTCTGTATACACCAGGAGTACTGTGAGAAGCCATTCAAGGGTGTCTTCCAGAGCTTGCAGAACTGATGTTAAAGGCCCCACTGCTAGGTAGAAGGGTTATTAAGATGACATAGAGAAGGGGCTGGGGCTGGGGCTGGGGCTCAATTGAAGTGTGTGTGCCTAGCTTGCATGAGACCCTAACTTCAATCCCTAGCAGCACATAACAGAGAGTGACAGAGAAACAGAGAAAGACAGAGACAGAGAAGATTAGACCAGAAAATCGAATTTCCAACAAGATGGAGCTTCAAACTGAAGCACAGAGTAAGAAAAAAGTGAAAACATGAAAGAAATTTAGTTTAAAGGCCCATTAATCACTGAGTAGGTCAAGTAGTAAAAGAATAATACCTACCGAGCATGGTGGTGCACGCCTTTAATCCCAGCACTCAGGAGGCAGAGGCAGGCAGATCTCTGTGAGTTCAAGGCCAGCCTGGTCTACATAGTGAGTTCCA